TCTTTGCTATGCGGCGTCATAACAATAATGTGATTTCATTTTAACTACTCTTGATCGAAACGACGCGGTGGTGCTGTAGGTTGAAGCGCCGACGATATTTATTTTAGCTATTTTGAGAAACATGCTGTTTGGGTTGGGTGCGAGTTCAAATCCCGCTGAAAACACTTTTTTGTAAATTGCAAATTGTTGTTATTTTAGCTTTTTTTATATTTTATTAATTTTATAAAAATGTTTCCTTCCGTGCTATCAATGCCTATTAAGCCTACTTATGTGTACATATACATAAATAGATGACTGACGCATATAAATGTCGCAATTCGGGCACTGTAAATGCCGATTGCCACGCCCCTAGTGGCCGTAGACTCCTCAATTTTAGCCAGTTCTTAGAACGAGCAACCGGTTACCTAAATGCAAAATTTGAATTCTTACGCTCAAAAAATGTGAAAATTACAGGGTATTTTTCGATATGCCACGCCCCTAAAGAGGCTTAAAAATTATTTTTGGGGCATCGATAGAGGAGGCCACCAGTAACTTAACTATCCAAATTTGAAGCTTCTAGCTCTTAAACTGTAGGAGATATAAACTTTTGCGATTTGCCACGCCCCCTATAGGCGGACATATATCTACCATAGCTCGTTGGACTTGGGTGATCAACCCGCGTATATATACCAAATTTCAGATCTCTAGCATCAATAGTGCCTAAAATATAGCAGAATTCGAAAAATCACTATATCTTCAGGTCCGATTTGCCACGCCCCTAGTGGGCGTAGATATATAATTTTTTCACCCATCTTCATAGAATTAAAACATTAGCTTACGTGCAAAATTTCAGCATTCTAAGTTTATAACTTTAGGAGATACAGTTTTGTCCAAATTTCAGCTTTCTAGCTCTTCAACAAACATGATTTCTGGTATATCGGAAAATGCATTTTCCGATTTGCCACGCCCCTAGTAGGCGGATCGGGAAAATTTTAACACTTTATAAATCGGAGATATACACGAGTATGTGTTCCAAATTTCAAGTCTCTAGCTTCAATAGCGCCGAAATAGATTGCGTTCATACGGACAGACGGACAGACGGACGGACAGCAAGACGGACATTGCACAAAACCAATATACTCATTTCACTTTCGTGAATGAGTCTAATGAATGATCTCAGTGCTATTAAAAACTTGCCATGCAAAGAAAACCTTTACAAATATGGTTTATCTAGTTTACATGCTTGGATTCGTTTCCTTGATTGCATTCTGCATATTAGCTACCGACTAATAACTAAAAATTGGCAAGTTCGAAGTACAGATAAAGCAGCTGTTGATATGAGAAAATTGGAAATACAAAAGAATTTGAGAAAAGAGATGGGTATATTGGTTGATATTCCAAAGCCTGGCGGGTCAGGCAATACTAATAACGGCAACACAGCGAGAAAGTTTTTTCAAGATGCAAAATTAGCTGCCAAAATAACTGGAGTCAACTATCTTTTAATTTATCGATTTAGTGTAATATTACGAACACTAGCATCCGGATATGAAATTGATACAGAAGTCTTTAAACATTATGCATTTGAAACTGCAATATTATTTGTAGACATGTACCCATGGTTTTATATGCCTTCCTCTGTCCATAAAATTTTGATTCATGGTGCAGAAATTATAGAACACTTTGCCCTTCCGATAGGTATGATGTCAGAAGAAGCTCTTGAAGCCAGAAATAAAGATCAAAGAAAATTTCGATTAAATCACACACGAAAAAATTGTCGCAATAACACAATGGAAGACTTGGCCCACACACTTTTTATTTCATCGGACCCATTTATTACAATGTTAGCGAAATCAACAGTTTCCTTTTCTAAAAAAGATCGGTTTGTAGATAAAGACATTATTAGTCTTATTTCAAATAAGGACTCACAAGTTGAGCTATCGGATTGCGAAACATCAGATTCCGATTAGATGTAAAATTGTTGGTAATATTTACGTTATATGGATTGCGTACATAATCGCACGCTTTAAGAAAAAAAAATATATAAAATAAAAATATATATATTAAAAGAAAAAAAAATTTGGTCTATTGAACATTACTCTAGGGGAACATGCGAAAGAAGAGAGAAAGAAGACACTTTCGATAATTAAAAAAAAATGATAATGCTGTCCAATTTATTTATTTTTTTGATGGTTTGTATATATATTTCTAAAGTAATAGCAAATAAAAAGAAGTATTAAAAATGTATTGAAATTCCTTAAAATTGAGCGAAAATAACCATACATCGAATAGAACGGGCTTACACTATCTTAAAAAAAAAATTTTTGTAATACTTTCACTTAATGAAAAAATTTTTTTCTACATTAATTCTGATGTGTATATAATTTATCTACAAAACAAAAGTATCCGTACAAAAATAGCATCATTTTTGCAGAAGTTATTAATTAATCGCCGCTAAATCAGCCGTTTCGCCCACTGTGCAGTGTTGCCATTTTAGCTTATTTTAAGCTAGATTTAGCATATTTTGAAATCAAAAAGCTTGGAAAATTAATGAAAAGCTTATAGCTTGAGATCTAGCTTATTTCAAATTTAATTTGGCTTATTTTGGCTTGCAAAAATGTAGTACAAAACAATTTTTGTTTTTCGATTGTTTTGTAGCATTCGGTCATTTTGATCGAGAAATCGATAATAACTTTTTTGATAGTGCCATTTTGAGTATACATGTATGGTACTTTTCGCTGATAACTTTCGGTCACACTTGTTGCAAATTCTCAAACCTTTGCTCACATTTTCAAAAATTCATTTAATAAATTGGGAGGAAAAAGAAAATACTACCCAATTTTGGGCCGAGGTCCTTAACTATAAGGATGCTGGCGGAAACAACACTTTTCAGCAGTTATCATTATTTGCTATACATATGCTATCGCTTCCTTGGTCGAATGCTGCAGTTGAACGCGTATTTAGCCAAGTTAATATAGTTAAGACTAAATTGCGAAATCAAATGAGTGTTAAAGGTTTAAACGCAATATTACGTATAAGGTTTGTTCATGAAATGATTAGTAATTTAGTGTATACTTAGTATATTCTTTTTAACTTTACAGATATGGATTACGCCGTCATGGCAAATGTTGCTTTAATTATAAAGTACCTGCAAGGTACTTATCATTAATTAAAACATCTGAGAAATATGAGGAAGCAAATAATGAAATTGATGATATAATTTCGTTAATATAAATTTAAATATATTAATAAAATTCAAATATCTATTAAAAAGTATACATCAATTTTTTTTTTTTTTTTTTTTTTTTTAGTTAGCTTATTTTAAAGATTTATTTTTTTTAATTTTAGCTTATTCTAGCTTATTTTTTTCTTCAATCTAGCTTATGGTGACTCTGAAAATCTGGCACCACTGCAGAGAACACATAGACTAGACATGTAGAACAAACTTTTTCAACACCGAAAAAATGCGCTGAGGCAGGGCTGTCATTTCAGCTTTTTTCCCGTCAAATCTGGCTTTATTTGAAGTCCCATTGCGGGAAAAATTCGAAAACGGCGGGTTGCGGGAATTCTGGCTTAAAAAAATTAATTTAGCTCTATTTTAGCTTTATTTACTTTTCACGATTTATTTTGTTTGTTTATCTTTCTCAACACTGAAAATTATGAATACAAGTATCGATATATGATTTTGTATCATACAATCAATCTATCGAACTCATTTCATGGTTTAAGTAACAGCTGCTTGTGCTTTAAAGTTTACTGCGTTGAAAAATGTCGAAGGTATACAAACAAAGTGTTCGCGATGTGTGGCTGCAGGCTGACGAGTTTAAGGATTGGCTACGGAAAGATCTAACAGATTCGACCAGGGCGTACTGCAGCTACTGCAAGTGCGGTCTGACTGCAAAGCTGTGTGACTTGCGTGCCCACGCATCAACAAAAAAACACAAAGGTGCACTAAGTGGATTTGCACAAAAAGAAAAAATTGATTTTGGGCAAACTCCATCGAAAACCACGGAGCAAGAGGTAGCACTTTGCCTCTTTGTGGCAAAGCACACCTCAATTGCTCCCATAAACCACCTGGGCAGTCTCTGCCAAACAAAATTTTCCGATAGTATTACCGCGTCGCGCATTAAACTTCACCGTACTAAATGTACATATATAATAAAAAACGTGTTAGCTCCTCATTTTCGTGAGGATCTCAGAAATGATATTGGAAGCGCTAAATTTAGTTTGATTTTGGACGAATCAACTGATATAAGATGCACTAAGCTGCTCGGTAAATAAAAATTATGTTTTAATCACCTGCACTCTTTTTAAAAGTTTGAACATTGTCTAATTTGTATATATTTGCATGTATATTTATAATTTTTACGTTGCTGTTGTTTAGGTGTTGTTATTAAATATGTTTCTGTGGAGCGTGGAGTGATGGTATCAATGTTCCTCAGTTTAATTTCTTTAGAAAGTGGGGACTCGTTTTCTATAGTTGAAGGAATTAAACAAGAACTTAGGAACTGGAATTTGGATTTAGTCAATTTAGTAGGCAACGGCACAGACAATGCCAATTTTATGAATGGCTGGAATCAAAGCGTTTATACGGAGATGAAGAAGGTAGCGCCTTCGCTCCTTTTAATTAAGTGTGTCTGCCATTCAGTGCAGCTAGCGGTAAATCATGCCTGCAAGCACTGTTTCCCATAGGGGTTGGAATATCTCATATATGGGACATATAATTGGTTCGCTAAAAGCTCAAGCCGTCAAATTGCTTATAATAGAATTTATCAATGTCTAAATGATGAGAAGGTATATATAAATATAAAAAACCCCTCGTGTTTGTCTGTAATTCCCCTTTTGTATTATCACTTTTAAATCGTTGCAGTTATTGTTATCATGTAATTATTTGTGGTCTAAGTTACTGTGTCTGTGTTTTCTCGAGACAATAGCTTATTTACATATCAATTTGTTTTCTAAAAGGCTCCCCTTAAAATTCCACGAGTTTCGGATACACGATAGCTCGCAATTGAATTGGCAGTGACTGGAATTTTGGAACAGTGGCATGAGCTAACACTTCATTTTGGTATTTCTGGTACCCAAGAAAAATGTTTACAAGCTCAACACCTCAGCGAATTATTTAAGGACGTGCAAAATCTGTTATACCTTCAGTTTTTGAAACCAGTTTTGCAAGAAATGCAACATGTTAATAAATGCTTCCAGAGTCAAAATACAGACTCATCAAAATTGCTGAATGACCTGATACTAGCTATAAGGTCTTTGCAAAAGAAAATTATTCCAGAAGAAAAAAGATCGACATATTATTTCAAAATGATTTTGAAAAATTTGTAGTCAAAGACCTATATCTTGGCTATGAATTTGAAAAACTGATTAAAAATATTAGAATGGACATGACAGCAGAATCAGTCATTAGGGAGTGCTGCACGAATTTTATTATTGAGCTTGTAAAGCAGTTGAAGCAAAGGTGGGTCTAATTTATTATGTTTACAATGAATAACAAATAATCAATGTTGCTTTTCTTTCAGGCTGCCCGATAATTTCGAGATACTAAGACAAACCGATATATTTGCTGTGGAAAATGTTTTGAAATTTAAGCAGCCTCATATCGTTGCCATTCTCGAATTTTTTAAAATTTCAAAAATTGCTGATGTTGAAAGACAATATGCTGATGTACGACTGTGTACTTGGCAAAACACGGAAAATACGCTGGCATTTTGGCTTGAAGTACTAGCGTACCGTGACTCAGCCGGAAACCAACGGTTTTATGAATTGGCAAGCGTTGCGGTACAGATTCTGTCATTACCATGGTCAAACGCAGATGTAGAGCGGGTCTTCAGCCAAGTCAATTTAGTTAAATCTAAATTAAGAAATGGAATGAATTTAAATACTCTTAACTCTATTTTAAGCGTAAGGTATGATTTTTAATTAACAAAAGAAAATATAAAAAAAATAATACTAATTTTTTTTTTTTTTTTTCAATTTTAGATACGGACTAAATCGAAACGACAAATGCTGCTACGAGTACACATTGCCTCCTAAATGAATGCGAGCAGTAAGCACTCGAGATTATTATCCAGACGAAGAGGCAGTGAGTTTGGATGAACTCATAAATGAGCTACAGAATTAATAAAATTTACCTTTAACTTGAATTTAATGTAATTTTTTATTTTATTATTATATTTAGAAGTTTGTTGTATTATCATAAGTCATTGAATATCAATTTAAAGCAAATGAACAATAATAAATAAATTTAATTAAGAAAACATTGATTTTAAGCCTAGCTTTTATTTTGGCTTAATTTTTCTTAAATTTGGCTTCTTTTGGCTTCTTTTTTTTGCCAATCTGGCTCTATTTGCTCGAAAAATTATGACAGCACTGCGCTGAGGAGACTACACAACTTCGTCTTTGCTCGGCTCAGTCTCTTGAGGCTCAAGCAGTGAAAATATTGCACGAGAAAATCAGTGTGCTGCAAGCGCTCAAACAAAATGGTGTTATTTTTTTATGAAGCACAGCTATGCGCTATTTTTCCTACTCTCTCTCACTCTCTCTCACTCTATCTCTCTCTATGGTCTCTCAAATAGCAGCAGCGCACAGAAATTGAAAATTGTTCGCGACAATCCCAGCTCTTTCCTTTTGAGTGAAGGATATACCGAAATCATAAAAGCATTTGTCACGCTCATGCAAACAAAATGTAACCGTTTCGATGGTTATTCGTGGGAAGGGTATGAAAGCGTTGATACGCATAAAAAATATGATTTCGCGACGGGCAAGTACACACACACTTGTAATCCCTTGCTACATGTATGAGCATTTGTGACCTGCGTGCGTTACTCTTGCTGCTTGTAGCAATTTTAAAAGCCAGCATTTGCATTTGGTCGGTCTTACGGACTGTCATAACCACTTTAAACAGATGTACTATGTATGAACATACATACATATGTACATAAGTACATTTATATATTATTATTGCTAATCATGTTTATAAATGTGTTTATATCCGTAAATAATTATATATAATTAAAATTATTTTATACACATTTTCAACCGAAAAAATTATCGTAAAACACTACTAAGTTTATTAAATGCTTTGCAATATATGAAATACACATGTCATATTATACTCAAGCTTTACTCATTATTGTCAAAAATTTCTAATTAAGTCATAATGGCCCATTTGATAGTCACCCTTTCAAATCATTCAAATCATACAAAATTTACAAACTACTAAATCCAGAGACAATTAGCTTGCCATCCCATACAAGCATACACATACACAAATGTATGTATGCATGTGCTCACTTCACAAGGCAGACCAACAGCAAATTTTGGGCTGATAATAGACGAAAATATTGAGAAAGAATTGAGTTTCGCGACGCACGCACACAAAAGCACATACACGTAGCAAGGATGTAAATGTGTGTGTGCATGCTCGTCGCGAAAATGTTGTCTTTCTGTGCAGAACAGGCTGTGCAAATTGTAAAGCCCAAAAGTTGCCGTTGGTCTGCCTTGTGAAGTGAGCACATGCATACATACATTTGTGTATGTGTATGCTTGTATGGGATGGCAAGCTAATTGTCTCCGGATTTAGTAGTTTGTAAATTTTGTATGATTTGAATCGTAGGGTGACTATCAAATGGGCCATTATGACTTAATTAGAAAATTTTGACAATAATGAGTAAAGCTTGAGTATAATATGAAATGTGTATTTCATATATTGCAAAGCATTTAATAAACTTAGTAGTGTTTTACGATAATTTTTTCGGTTGAAAATGTGTATAAAATAATTTTAATTATATATAATTATTTACGGATATAAACACATTTATAAACATGATTAGCAATAATAATATATAAATGTACTTATGTACATATGTATGTATGTTCATACATAGTACATCTGTTTAAAGTGGTTATGACAGTCCGTAAGACCGACCAAATGCAAATGCTGGGCTTTAAAATTGCTACAAGCAGCAAGAGTAACGCACGCAGGTCACAAATGCTCATACATGTAGCAAGGGATTACAAGTGTGTGTGTACTTGCCCGTCGCGAAATCATATTTTTTATGCGTATCAACGCTTTCATACCCTTCCCACGAATAACCATCGAAACGGTTACATTTTGTTTGCATGAGCGTGACAAATGCTTTTATGATTTCGGTATACCCTTCACTCAAGAGGAAAGAGCTGGGATTGTCGCGAACAATTTTCAATTTCTGTGCGCTGCTGCTATTTGAGAGACCATAGAGAGAGATAGAGTGAGAGAGAGTAGGACAAATAGCGCATAGCTGTGCTTCATAAAAAAATAACACCATTTCGTTTGAGCGCTTGCAGCACACTGATTTTCTCGTGCAATATTTTCACTGCTTGAGCCTCAAGAGACTGAGCCGAGCAAAGACGAGGTTGTGTAGTCTCCTCAGCGCATTTTTTCGGTGTTGAAAAAGTTTGTTCTACATGTCTCATCTATGTATGTATGTGTTCTTTGGTCAGTGGTTTTACCCGCCGCGACGCCGCGTCACTTTTCTGATTTTGTTGAGCCGTGCAGACGTGGATTTAAAGGGAAGTATTCTACAGTAAATTATAAAAACATATGTACAGTTTGGCAAGAAAGTGTTTACACACAGGGAAAAAATTTGAATTTTTTACTTTGAAGCGAAATAAAAGCAGTAAGAATATGCATATTCAATTTTTTTAAAATGAAAGTAGGTATATTAGACTATAAACTATATTAGTAAGTAAAAAAAATTACAATATGTTTCCATTAACAAAAGAAAATAACAAAAAACAAAAGAAGTAACAAAAATCAGCTGACAAGAAAGTGTTTACACAACTAAAACAATTAATTCATTATAATGTTTTAACTACTTTTTAGTTAAAACTAATACTTTTTTTGGCCACCGTTGGCATCTATGACTGCTCCCAAGCGTCTATTCATCGATTGGACCAAGTTTCTGACATATTCCACTGGGATATTTCGCCATACCTCCAAAACAATGGTTTTCAGCTCAGTTTTATTCTTTGGATGCCTCTTGGCGGTCCTCTTCTTCAGATAAGCCCACAAATTCTCAATGAGGCTTAAGTCCGGGCCTTTAGTTTGCGTATCCAACACATTTTTTCAGTTATAAAGTAGCCAGCACCTCACAATATGCGCCTTATGTTTGGGATCATTGTCTTGATAAAACCTTATAGTTGGTTTGCCATTGACAAAGAATCCAAATTTGTTGGCACTGGTTACTAAATGTGTGCGCAAAATGTCAAAATACTGTCCAACATCCATGGTGTTCTCAATAAAACATAGATATCCAACTGCTTTGCTTGAGATGCACCCCCAAAATCAACAGTCGGTATTATATTTTTCTTCTCGAGGGCTTTTAGGGGCTTGCCCCACTCTCTAGTTGGACCATTGTTATAATATACCATCATTTTGGATTCATCGCAAAATATTACATCATCCCGATATGAATCTGGCTGATTTCCGTGCATTTTAGCAAACGTTAGACGCTTTTGAGCGTGATCTGCCGACATCAGTTTTTTTTCCGGGCTAGTCGGGACGACAGATCATTACTTTTTAGTGCTCTTCTGACACTTTCCCGGGAAATGGTTATTCTACACTCCTCCTTCAGCTCACTGGCAACCATCCTGGTCAAAATAGTTGGTTTCTCGTCCATTTTTCTGAGCATAATTCGCTCTGCCCTGGGTGATAATAGATGAGGGTGTCCTTTAACTTTAACCTTTAACCTTTAACTCAAGCCTATCCTCTTTTTTTGCACGGCTTAGTATATTATATACTGTTTTCCAAAAAATCAAAAACATTTGGCCAATCTCTGTGGCAGTTTTACCCACCAAGAGACATCCAAAGAATAAAACTGGGCTGAAAACCATTGTTTTGGAGGAATGGCGAAATATCCCAGTGGAATATGTCAGAAACTTGGTCCAATCGATGAATAGACGCTTGGGAGCAGTCATAGATGCCAACGGTGGCCAAAAAAAGTATTAGTTTTAACTAAAAAGTAGTTAAAACATTATAATGAATTAATTGTTTTAGTTGTGTAAACACTTTCTTGTCAGCTGATTTTTGTTACTTCTTTTGTTTTTTGTTATTTTCTTTTGTTAATGGAAACATATTGTAATTTTTTTGCTTACTAATATAGTTTATAGTCTAATATACCTACTTTCATTTAAAAAAAATTGAATATGCATATTCTTACTGCTTTTATTTCGCTTCAAAGTAAAAAATTCAAATTTTTTCCCTGTGTGTAAACACTTTCTTGCCAAACTGTATATATATAATATATATTATAAATTGGCTTTTTGCATTATATTAGTGAAAGCATCTTAAGTGTACATATACTCTTCAATTCTGTCTATTTATTTGCCAGCAATTATTTTATGCTCAAACAATTATAACCACGTTCAATATACACACTCACATACATATGTAAATAAATACATACAAATGTAAATGTAAATTATTGGCACAGCAAGCTATTTAAACTTTATAGGAGTTTTTCAAGTATTTTGAAACGTTTTTTTTAATGAAACAAAAAATTAACTAAGTAGAATAAAGTATTTATTAAGTTGTACAAAAAAAATATTGCAAAAATATTCATTGTACATTTGTTAAAAATTAAATAACCAAAAGAAAAACCTAAATTTTTATGAACAAAATTATTGGCACACTTAGTTATGTCCCGTTATTTAAAACTTCAGAAATCTGAATTCCAACATAGAACATTTTGTAGCAATTGAGCATATTTTTGTAATTTTTTGAATAATGGCACCTAAGCTACCCTGTATTTGCACGATCAAGGAAAATCTTACGCAGAAATAGGAGAGATTATGGAAAGAAGCCGATTCACCATTCGAGGGAGCTGGAAACCTGCAAAGTTCAAAACATACAGGTCGCCCAAAGTCATTGGACAGCTATGAATGCAGGAAAATTGTTAGAAAGGTACAAGTGAATACGAAAGTAACATCTACACAGATTGCTGCTGAGGTTAAAAAAGAAATTGGGAAGGATGTGTACCCGATTACGATACGCAGAGTACTGCACAAGGCAGAATACAGAGCGCGCGTGGCTCGTCGAAAACCGTACATCTCAGGTTTTTTTTGGGTTTTTTAATTTAAAACAAGTAAGAAAGCTCTAGTCGAGACTGTTCGACTACGAGATCCCCTGAAGCCTTGGAGTAATAGCTATTTCAATAATTTGTCGCGTCTTTCAGCTTACACAAGAAACACACACACACACGGACGCACGCACATACAGGCATACATACACACACACACACACATACACAAACATTTATACACACATACATAAACACACACACACACACAAGCATAAACACGCATGGGCGCAGTGTGCGCTTACTATGAGAACTTAATTGTTTAATAACTTTTTTTGTGGACATACGATCTTCATGAAACTTTGAGATTATGATTATAACATGGATATACATGTTGCCAAAGCACAAGTCTCTAGTATTTGAAATACGCCTTTTACAAAAGTGATGGTGAGGGGGTGAATATAGGGGTGGGGGGTAAATTTTACGAAAAAACCAAAATTGTATAAATTGCATATAAGCATACATTAAAAATTTGGAGCCTCTAGTAATAAAGGTGTAAAAGATATAATTTTATAACTGGTTTTCGATAAGGTTTTTTATCGATAAAAAAGATCGGGATGAGTTATCGATTTTTAATGATAAACTCGATATCCGCGCTGTAATTACGGACATTTGAAAAAAAATTTGAAGTCTAGCTTTTATATCTTCTGAAATCGATGCGTTCAAACATACGGACAGAGCCAAATCGACTCAGCTCGTCGCCCTGATCAAGAATATGTATTCTTTGTGGGGTCTGCCACGCCTCCTTCTCCCTGTTACATACATTTCAACAAAACCATTATACCCTGATTTCTCATTGAAAATGGGCTCAGAGAATAAAAATCTAAGATCTAGACATAGATTACATATATATGTTTGTTAATATTACTAAATTATTACTATTATTATTATATTCATTTATTTTTGTTTATTCCAGTATTTTATTTATATTTTAACAGATTATCCTTTTGGGTAGATCTGTTGGGTGGTACTTTTTGAGGCGTCTCATCCTAGGCTTGGCAGTTAGCCGTCTGGCTAATAGATCTGTGTGGCTGTCCAGACGTTTAAAGTATCTTACCGAACGTAATTGTAGGACATCTCCCACCTTTGGGACCCTTAGGTCCTTTTCAATGTCTCGAGTTCTCATGTACCATGGCGCATCACAGATTCGCCTCAGAATCTTTGCTTGGGCGACTCTAATTTTGTTCAAATTGGTTTTAGAGGCAATGCCGTATATTTCTAGGGCGTATTTCTAGATAGGGCTTAGGATGCTCTTGTATATCGCAGTTTTACTGTAGTGATAGCTTGTTTTTCGGAGCAAGAAGCCATGTGATCTTTTTAGCTTTCGCCATTACCGACTGCCGTACCATAGTAGTATGGGCCTTAAAATTTAGTTTCCTGCCCAGTAAAACTCCAAGGTACTTATATGAGCTTTTTTGTGGGATTGTGGAGCCCAGCATAGTAAATCTACTACAAGACAAGGTTCTTGTGGTAAACGTGACATTTACGCACTTGCTGGTGTTGATGCCTATGTTCCAATTTCTAGCCCATCCTTCAAAGCTATTTACGTATTGTTGCAAGGATTCCGTGGCTATGTTTATGCTAGGACTTCTGGTCAAAACTGCAGTGTCATCTGCGTAGGTTGCTATCAAAGCTTTCTCGCAACTCGCTTTACTTCTCGCTTTGGCTCGCTTCGCTTGCACTCTGACATTTTTTAAGCGATTACATGTAAATCAGCATGTAGAGCTTTCTCGCTTATTGTCGCTCCATATTATCGCATCGCTTATCGCGGCCACTCTGACATCAGCCTTACTTGTTTTATCGATACCATGTAATTTTCGCGAGCCCAACAGATCATCTGTTCTGCGTAGTCTCGGCCTGACAACGCGACAGAGTGAGATGACTATAACATCTAGCAAAAACGTATTAGTATTGAGCGTGGTATGTATCCATTTGAGTATATTGAAGAAGAAGAGAAGAGTGACGCTCATTGATGTTGAAAAATCGAAGTAGAAAAGTCGTGGAACCGGACGATAATGAATCTGCGACATATACTCATATGCATGTTATACAATTTCGTTTTTTGTTAAAATTTACCCCCTACCCCTATATTCACCCCTTCGATCGAGACTCTATAGACTGCAATTTATATTCATTTTCATTGTTTCAAAATATTTAATTTTCCGAATTGCAACTATGTAGTAAAAGTGCGTCATGTCATTAGCTTTTGCAATAGATATGTACATAAATATAAATATATAGAACTGTGAAAATAAATGGGTTTTTTGAACTGCCCGACTACGAGATCCCCTGATCCCTTCGAGCAACTGATATTTCAATAATTATTCGCACATACACACACACAGACAAGCGCACGCACGCATAAACACGCATTGGCTGCAGTGCACTGAGTTCACTGAGTTCCTCAACATTTATAGAGATACCACTATGATAACTATAAATAGTTTCAAATGTCCTAGCGGAAATTACCTCACTGGATAGATTTGAAAACGCCAAATCAATATGTGAATCGGTATCGGCTGTAGACACCTACAAATCTATCAGGCTTCTAAAGCTTTTTCTAATCAAATTAGCATAAAAGGCTTTGGATGTTTCAAACCTGGTCAAACATTATTGAAATCTACCACAATTAAACAATTTTCAGTCAGAAATGAGTGTTGAAGAAACAGTTCCTCAAACTCAGTTCCAATTTGTGGTAATGAATAAGAAGGACTTTTGTAAGCTACGTATATTAAAGCGCGCTGCAGAGTAAAAATTTATGTTTTGTTATAATATAAATGATTATTTTTTAAAAAACATTTTACATAAAACTTTCGACTGTTCGGAAACATGGGATAAATTATTAATTGTCGTGAAGACAATAAGCTGGTCTCTTGATATTCCTAACTCTAAATGAAAAGCCCGCTTGAAAGGAATAAACCTTTTTTCAACTTAATAGAACTTTCCTGCCATTTTTTTTTTCAGATCTATTCCAATATCATAACTTTTTTCCTATAAACTACCTCATTTGGTTCCCTCTTTATACAATTTAAACAAAGGGAACTCCTATTAGCGGCTAAATCGTGCCACAATTCATTTCTTAAATCGTTGTCGAAGCTCAAGAAATTCTCTATTACTTCTTCCTCTGATTTTGAAAGCTGAAATATTTGAAAAGAAGTTTGGGTCACCCAAATGTATGGTTGGGACTGTGTTGGCTTTTAATTTTCGCTTACCAATATTTTTTCGTTCAAAATGATTGAAATCTGATTGAAATTACTGGGCAAATTGCATGCTTTAATCAATTTGTTGAAATTAATTTGATTTGATGGAAATGTCAGCACTTAAGTCCCCATATTAAGTCCACACTGTGTGTGTGTGCATGTGCTGTTTTTTGTGTATGCCGAAAAGAAGCTAAGTATGTAAAAATGATAGAAATATCAGTTGCTCCATGGGATCAGGCGCTCTCGTAGCCGGGCAGTCTCGACTAGAGCTTTCTTACTCGTTGTTATTGTCATTTGTGTTGTTTTTGCCTGTGGCGGCTGTTTTTCTACGCGCGACGCTGCTGTAGGTGAGCTTTCTGTTCACAGCCTGTTGCGTATTTGTTTGTTGTGTTTGTTGAATTTGCTGCGCCAAGCAGTTTGACACGCTGTCCGGCCTTTAAAGCAGCTAACGTGTGCGCCGCCACAATTCACGCAAGTTGCCGCCTCGTCTCCGCCTTTTGGGCACTCGGTTGAAGCGTGCTCGCCGGCACACTTCATGCATCTAAATGGCCGCCTACAGACTGGCATCGATGGCACTGGGCCGGATCGATGGGCTTGGCCATACGCTCCACACTGACTGCTTGCATTGCTATCTGCTTGAGATCGAGAACAGCCTCATGGCTGCCATCTGGCTTTGGCTGAAGCTCGATCTCAAGCAGATTAAGTGGCTTCGATATAAATCTGTGCTTCATGCAAGTGTTTTAGCACCACTCGATACCCTTTCAACTGGCGTGGCTGGTGAGTGCGCAGTTGCAGCTTTTCTCGATGCAGTACTCCCAGTACTGCATTATATGTGTCTATGTCATGGCATAGAATTCTAAGTCCTTTCCCAGCACCACCAGTAGCTTTAGTGCTAAATCTTTTCACTGCTGGATACTTGTTAAGCTTGTCCAGCAGTGGCACTATATTAGCTTAGTGACTGTACTATTAGTTGGCTGTTTTAAACTTAGTTGTTTTCAATATAAACTTAGTGGCGTCGTCATTTTCGTCAGTCATTGCAGCGTCTTTTTAATGGCGACTGCCAGTTTTGTTGGCTATGAGCGACTGTTGTTGTTGTTGTTGTTGAAGTGGTGGTAGCATTTGAAAATGGCTGCGGCAGCTCATATGGCAAGAATGGCGGCACATGAGTGAGCCATCTTTGCATTCGTTTGTGTAGTAGTGACGTCATTGCTTGAGCGAGGTTGAGTTGAGTGGATTTCTGTTGAGTGAGAGAGAGCGTGAGCGCGTGCGCCGGGGTGGGTTTTTGTGTTTGCATGTGAGTGAGTGTGATCGTCTCTTAGTTGCAATGGGTGCTAGGTGAAGGGGGAATAACGGGAGTGCGTACTCACCAATATCCTTTATGGCTCTCGGAGCCTTATTTGCTGGCATCTTGGTGGCGTCCGAGTCCTCTGCGCTGGGCATGGTGTAGACGGCGATTAGGTTGTCATCTCGGCCCACCGTACTATTATATTATATTATAATATTAATATTATATATATATATATATATATATATATATATATATATATATATATATATATATATATATATATTTTTTTTTTTTTTTTTTTTTTTTTTGCAAATATCAGTATATTTGGAAGCCGACCGCAAGCGAGTATACCCATGCAGGCCTCTAGTATGCACATACAAAAATGGCCACTTTTAGTTTGTCAAAAATATTTTTTGTTTTTATTTGAATTTTATGTTTGTTTGTCGTTGTTATCACAGTTTTAGTTTTATGTTTTAGTTTTGGTTTTATTTGATTTTGAATAAGGTAAAAATAGTTGTAGTTTATTTTATATGTATTTGTATGTACATATGTGCACATAGAAATTGCCACTTTTTCAAGTGTATTTAAATTTTAATTATTGTTTTACACATTAGTCGCCGCTTTTATTGCTGTTAGTTTAGTTTTTGTTTTGTTTCATTTCAAATAAGAGTTTTCAATATATTTAAAATTTTATATTTATATGTGCATAGACGCGCACATATAAAATGGCCGAATTTTCACAAGTGAAATTTTTATTTGAATTTTATTATTTGTTTTACACATTAGTCGCCGCAATTTTTCACTTTTAAATTGCTTTTAATTAATTTGCTTTTAAATAACAACACTCGAGTTTTTGATTTTTAAAGTTTTTTTTTTTTTATTCGCCGTGGCCGTAGTCTCACAAATTGCACTTATGCTAAAGTAAAAATTATGAGCTATGGCTACTAGTTGCCCGCCGGCCTCGCGCTCACTTCTGTGAGTGGCTGTTTTTACAAACATATATCGATAACTGTCTTACTGGCTATACTATTATTATATAACAGTTACCGATAGTGGTTACATACAATTTTACAAAGTTACATCACTAGAAACATGTGTACTGGTAACTGGTTCGTAGCTGGTGAAATCACTACTTACTAGGGTACCACCCCTACTTACTTTGCTAACCCTAAGCAATGTATTTCATCATTTCGTTTTTTGTATGAAATGTCCGCAAAAAGGGTCAATCGCCACCACATCGTTTACCGCGAACTAGTGAATTGGGTCACCATAAAAGGGCTTGTTACATGGGTACCTATGTAAGGACTAGTGGGGAAGATGGTTCAACTATGGTCAATCGCCACCTCCAGTACTACAGGGATCTTATACGTAGTAGAGGTCTGCATGAATGTATTCATTTCTAAAACCATAGTACTGTACAGTAGTAAAATGTTCTCAAAAATACTGTACTCATTCCTTGCTGTACAGTATATTCAACTGTCAAAAAAAATGCTGTACAACATTTTACTGTACTCACTTAGAATGAGTGACAGTAATAGCTGTACTCTTTTCAAATGAGTACATTTTTTGTCTCTTTCCCACACGTTGTACACCAAACTTCAATATGAGTATAGTAAGTGTGATTGAGAACAACTGTAAAGATATTTTCAACTGTTCTGCTAACTCTACTAATGAAAATGATGCAAACGCAATAATATTGCCCTAGTGGGCGGATCGGGAAAATTTTAATACTTTATAAATCGGAGATATACACGAGTATGTGTTCCAAATTTCAAGTCTCTAGATTCAATAGCGCCGAAATAAACTGCGTTCATACGGATGGACGGACGGACATTGCACAAAACCAATATTCTTTATACAATATACATTTCAGTTTCGTGACACACTTACCACGTGACGAACGAACTTGTTCTGTTAGTTCAAGAACAAGTTGTTCAAGGCGCCCAATAGTTTGTGAACAATTGCAGCTCGATATTTGATCTGAAAATTAAACAATTTAGTACTCAATTTTTTTCTATTTATTCAAATTAATTAGCACAATTTAAGTACTTACGGTTATTAGAAAAGTCCATCCGCCTAATTTTATTTTTTGGACTGAACGACATTTTTTTTTAAATTTAAATTATTCTAAAGCACAGTAAAGCAGTAAATATTTAAAAGCAGAAGTATGACAATCCACTCAATCTTGAATATGATGTAGTAAAGGCATTATAATAATATCTTTCAGAAAAGGGAGAACGACCGCCTTACAAGTCAATTGACTTAATTTAAAAATTTCTTCAGATGGTGAAGGTTCTGCATCTGCTAGGTATTTACCTATTTCACAGGAGTTGAAAGGCTGAGTATAAAAGTTTCTGAGGTTCATAAATCGCCTTGCTTTAAACTGTTCGACAGAGTCTTCCATTATTGATACTATAACTACAGGAATATCTCCTTCAATATAACAATAATTATTAGGTTCCTTTTGCATTAATTTGCTACCTTTAAAAATTATATATTTATTAATCTTGACGGGGTCTGATCTTGGTAAGACTGGTGAAAACTGCTCTTCATCTATTCTCCTATGTATTTGCTGTAAAATTTTGGTTGGCTTTCGAACGTAATTTTTAATATGCTGTAAATAATTCTCGAAAGCATATACGGAACCGTTTACTGGATCGCCCACCTGCTCCACCGTTTGCTGTATATGGAGTAAACTATGGACGTTATATGATACGCTATTTTCACCAAATATAATTGGAAAATTTTCCACAAAGAGCTGCAACATACGCTGAATGGTTCCCAAATTTGATATTCTGTGGAATGGGCAGCACAACATTCTATACGCGCAATGCAGTAGCTTAAACTCATAGTACTGGTCGTCAGATAGTTAATTATTCCTGTGTATAGTAAAAATTGCCTAAATTCTGTCGCTTTCCAGTTTGACAGTTCATTTAGGGATCTAGGCTTTCTTACAAATTCTCTTGGCATTTTTTTTGCGTAATTCAATTAATTTTTGCGATATATTAATTTTTTTTCTTTCATTAATTTATTACAAGTCTTGTTGTATATTAATCTGTTAAGAAATTTACGCATGACTCCTAAATCAATTAAATGCATACAATCTAATGGAATTTGAGTAACCATTTTAACATTTAGCGTTTCAAAAGGCGTAATTTTTGTCAAATAGTGCTTTGAGTGGTGATCGGAATATTTTCTTTTTTTGAAGTCCTCGTCTGTTATTATGTTTCCACTTTCTGTTGTTCTGTTCTTGTATGTTAATACACCATTTATTTTTTTCCAACTTGTGTACATTTCGAGCGTCCATGTGATGATGTATGTCCAGGAGTCCCACTGACGTAAGCCCTAGCTGGAGCATCACAAATAATGGCTCTAAGATGTACTTCTAAGTGCTTTTCGTCTATATCAATTCCATTTTCCATCAAATCCTTTAACTCGCAAGTAAATTTGCTTAAAAATTCATCACAATTATAGGGCTTTGATTTCCCCAAATATATTCCAACAGCAAGTACCGGTAAATTTTGAATGTTTGTCAATTTTATTAATATGGGCCAAAGTTGTGAATTGGAATTTTTAAACAGAGGAATGCCGTCAATATTAATATCAATAATTAATTTGTTTTTATTACAATAAGTTGATGTCAAAAGTTTATTAATTTGTTTTTTAATGCCTATGTGTAAATAAAGACCTCCATCAATATGTGTTATTTCAGCTTTTTTTGGCGAACTATATTTGTAGAATGGGGCGACATCTAAGTTATGGCTTCAATATTTTAATTAAGTCAATCGCGCAGTCACGCGTCGGCCTATGCTTTTGGAACCACAACGTTAGCTGTTCAATTATTATTTCTTTTTTATTATTTATTATATTTATTATTATTTATGTTTGTCAGATTTAAAATTTCGTCAACTTTAACTTCATTTTCATTATTTTTTTGGTTTTCTACACTTTCTGGTTTATTTTCTGACGTCGCAGCACAATACAATTTGTTTCTGTATTTTTCTTACTGCTACTGCTTCAGCCTTCTTTTTTTCACTATACATATTTGATTATTTTATTATTATTATATTTGTTATTATTATGTATTATTATTATTATATATTATATTATTAAAATTGTGTTGTAATTGCTTACATATGTATTAATACAAAACTTCACTAAATTTGCACTTCACTAAACTTGCAATGCTCGGGCGAACGAACATCGAGTAAGAGCAGAAAGCATAAATGAAAAGAAACGGTACTTCCATAACAATTGTTTTTGTAAATTATGAAAGGAACAGTGACAGAAAGCGAAGATTGTTTTCTTCCTTCACCTATGCACTATTCGCAAAAAACCAAAAATATATGTAATGATAGTACCGTTTTTTTTTCGTTTATGCTTTCTGCCGTTTCATGCATATATGTATGCATGTAGTTTGTTGCTCGGTGGCTCGGCGTTCGCTTACCATAGGGTCAGTCAAGTAAGTACCCATGTAAGGACTAGTGGGGAAGGTAGTTCAACTACGGTCAATCGCCACCTCCAGTACTACAGGGTTAACATGTAATGCAATATGTGCTTACAAATAAGACAAAAACAATTACAATTATTGACAATAAGCCAGTGTTGCCGTTTTTCCCCGAGAAAAAATAGCTGAATCAGGACAAAAAAATAAGCAAAATCCCAGAAACAATTAGCTGAAAAATAAGCTAATATATTTTAATTTTTTTAATACCCTGAAGCCATTTTCAATGGGAAATCTGGGTATAATGGTTTTGTTCAATGTATGTAACACCCCTCAATGTACATATATTCTTGATCAGGGCGACGAGCTGAGTTGATTCGGCCCTGTCCGTCTGTCCGTATGTATAAACGCGTCGATCTCAGAAGATATAAGAGCTAGAGACTTGAATTTGTTTTCCTACGCCCGTGTATATCACGCGCATATCAAGTTTTTCTTTTTATATCGATAACTACTCCCGATATTTTATTATCGATCAAAAACCTTATCGAAAGCTTGTTATTTAATTATATCTCCTACACCTTTAGAGCTAGAGCTTCCAAATTTTAAATGTAGACTTATATGTATTTTATATAATTTCGGTTTTTGTTTGCAAGTGCACGCATATTATTGTTATAATAACGATCTGAAAGTTTCATGAAGATCGTATGTCCACAAGAAAGTTATTAAACAATAAAGTTCTCATAGTAA